ATATATATATATATATATATAGTGTTTTCTATTCACTTTGGTTTAATATTGTATATTAAATTTGAAGCACACGTATTTTTTCTGAGTTGGCTACTTTGTTTATTGGTCCTTAGTGTCAGTTGTCATATTAATTCACACCTCACACCTCAAGCAAATAATGAGAACACTTATGGAAAATGAACACATAATTTTTCAACTGTAGACATGAGTTGTGGATATAACAAGTAGTGTCAGTATCAGTGATTATTTTGTATTTATTTCTAATAAACGAAAAAAGAATTATGGTTTATCTTCAAGATCTGTTTAATAAACAACATTATTGGAAAAATAATTTATTCCTAAACATAATCCTTCAAAGAAAACTGGCCTGGCGATAAATGTTGAGAAATTTATTAAAATATTTTTCAAATGATGTTCAATAGTCCTAATTCATTTTGTGATCTGTTAAAAGATGTTGAAGTCTACACAGTGGGGATTAAAATACATGTTGAATATAATGTATTTCTCGATTTTCCAAACTTCAATCTAATATAATTGGGTAATTATGAATTTAATTTAAAACAAGTAATCAAAATGTACTTTCATTGTTTGTTGAAAATTGTATTTTGGCAGAAATTATAAAACAGAGAATTGCATGTGATTCTCAGGTGCAATAGGACTACTCTTAGATACCCACTTATAAGAACAATAGAGAGAGAGAACTTCATTTTAGTAGGAAATAGCTATACAAACATGTTTCTAGACTAACAGAAATAGTAAAAAGAAAATAAAATAAAATGATGCACTTAAAGTATATAAATAAATTCGTGTGAACAAGATTGATTATGTTGTAATACATTCTGGTGATTTATAGTGACTGGATATGTTTACTGATCCTCATTTTAAATACATGAGTGGTATTAGATTGCTTGATGTCTTGTGGTAGCTTATTGAGCTCATCGAGTCCTTTATAGAATGGCGATTTCATTGAGTTTGCCATTTTCTAATTAGGGAGATGAAACATATTATTTCCTCTAGTAGTATAGTTATGTATTTGGGAGTTAATCATAGTAAATTCACTTAGATAATCTGGAAGTAGCTTATGTAATATCTTATAAATAAAAATCATTGTTAATTTATAAAATCT